GCACCGGAGGTGTTTGGTTGCTGCCTTGTGTTGATTCATTGAGTAAACATGACACGCTGCTCAAGAGGAGCTGAACTTGTTGCATTGCAAAATGGTCAAGGTTTGTTGTAGAGTGAGGATTCCTTTTTGATACAAAACATTCTGTTGATGTTCATGTGAAGGGCCGCCTATTGTTGCAAGGCTGGTGGTGTGATCTAATTGTGGTAGAACATTCATTTCGGTGTATTGCATTTCTTGGTAGTTTGCCTTTCTATTGCTATTGTTTCAATCGAATTTTGTGTGGACCAAGTTGATAAAATGTATGTGTTGAATGCGACTTTGCGCTGCATTGTGTGGATGTTATGTTATGAGCCCAAATGAAACATGGAAGTGATAAAGGGATTTACTGGTACATAGAGTGAGTAGCAGGAACCTTTTCCCATTGTGATGCCTACAACATGAATGGCACCACATTAAGATCTTATCCTCATTAGGACCTACAGTAGTCGTTTCCGTATACAGTATATATATATATACAACATAATGTATGTGTGTGTTAGTGTGTGTGTGTGTGTTCTCCATGTATGTGTGTGTTCTCCTTCCCGAGAGACACTGGGTGTCTCCCTACATAGTGCATAACACACCATTGGAGAAAAGGAAACAAACAGTTTGATTCCGTGCTGAATTTCTGAATGCTTCTTCAATTTACATCAGACCACAAAGGTCAGACGATGAGGAGATCGGAATACTATGTAATCTATGTAGTTGTTTGTGATGAACTGACACCATGACTGTGTTTTTGCCAACATTGTGCGGGGCCTGAAGGCTTATAGCGGTGACAAATTCAACATAGTTGTACAGCAGGTGGAATGCGTTCTGCTTACTACTGTTGATGCCCTCTTATGTTGCTTTGGTTCAGCTTCATCGATCTTAGTTTGTGCCTTCCCCGCAGGACAATGAACCAGAGAGTTTGAAGTCGAAAGGAGGTTCGTCAGCTTCAATCTTAATGGAAAGTTCTAAAGAACAATTCAAAAAACAACGAGAGAAAGACGTGCTAACCCTGGCGATTGTAACATGCCAGGTCTTGAGATTTCTCATGATCCGCTTGCCTGGCAAGTCCTCCCGAAGTGCGCAGTGCGCAGTGCAATTGCGAAGCATTCTCATGATACGAAAAGTTCCAGTTGAAATGTCCAACATTTCACAATTTGCTTTGCCTTGCTTTCCATGATTTTCCAAGAACTGAACAGGGCTGCTGGCCAGGCACTCGAATCTGCAGCTTGTTCCCCTCGAGCAGCCGCTCCACGAGCTCCGAGAGCTTCCAGCGCTCAGGAACGCAGAACCGGTTGCAAAGCCGGTCGAGGACGTTTGCTCCTGGAGCATCACAGAGTTTGTTCAACAGACCTTGTTTGAAGATCTGTGAGTAAGCCTGTACATTCCGGTGGTGAATTTGGAATCTTTTTGGATCAAGGAGCTTGAGAAGCCTGTCCTTTCTGGAGCGGAAAACCTCGGATCAGGCAAGTTGCGGAACCTCGGGATTCGACATTGTCACCCGTCCTGACATGCTTCAGCATAGGCCATAACCGCACCGTTGAGGAACACTGAACCTCCCGTAAGCATTGGAAAGACTGGGAAAGCCCTTTTCTGGAGCAAATTGCATGGAACTGATATGAACTTTCCTTCAAATTACGGGAGCTTTGGCAGTGAAAATCAGGGCTACTTATCACTCACAGGAGATGAACGACTTCTGTGGCCCATTGGTGGCGTATGGCAGAAGGAGCATGGTCTTGAAGAATGTGTTTCTGGTGCGACTGGCGTTGTTGCTGTCCTTGTTTTAATATGTTTTAAGATGGGGTATATAATACCAGGTATAGCTACTACTGCCACTACCTTAGTGTCATGATGTGTCATTACTACATCTTATTACCACTACCAATGCTAGTATTGATTCTTCTTCTGCTGCTGTTACTGGTTCAGATCCTTGCTTAACCTCTCCTGAGGTTTTGGTTGATTCCTGGAACTGTGACCTGAAAACCTTTTATCAACAACCATGTGTAGGGTTTATTGAAACTCATTGAAATCCTTGCTCCAAGCAACTTTTTCAAGGGCAGAATTAAACGGTTTTCTTAAATGTTGGACCGAAAAACGAATTAAACTCGCTGGACACAACCTTTGGTCCTTCGGTTACAGTGATCCTTTGGTTGGCAGGTTACATATCAACCAGAGCCTGTCGAAATAGGTTCAAGACGTGTGAGCCCACCTAGACAGCAATTTACTTATACTTATACTGTAGATCCAATGAACTAATCTACGGTAGGAAAAGCCACAGTGACTATCATGGGCTTCATTTCCAAACAAGAGCATCTCAATGGCCGCACGTCATCTTAGAGTAAGCACATGGAGATTTCACTCATTTGCGATGTCACTGCAACAAATAGTTTTGGTGGAGTTGAAACTATTCCAACTATTCCGTCTCCCTCAATTGTTCAATAGGGGGAGGGTGGTTTGTTTACTATTCAAGATCAGGCACTACGGCGAAATACTGTTGCTGGAGTATTCTTGTTGCCAATTCAATGTACTTTGGAAGTTGTTAGTGGTTGCTTCCGGAGGGGTCTAAAAGAACAACGAAGGGTTTCCAGTTTTTGCTTTTATGTTTGGAGTGGCTCTTGTTGGTGACGGTGTTGGTCTCGTTGTGTATGGCACATGTGGATATTGTTTTCCATCATGCTGAACTGTTCACATCCCAGTATGGTTTGCTAGGAGCAAGGACGCTACTAGGGGCTCCTGGCATCGCTACTAGGAACAAGAAGCTACTAGGGGCTCCTGGCCGTACTACTAGGAGCAAGACGCTATTAGGAACCTCAGCAAATGTTTTGGTTTGTGGAAGGAAGGGCGGAGATTCTGGAAAGACCATGCAGGCTAGTGCGCTTGCCACCGGCACGGTTGATATCGTTTTGCAGTGATGGTTGTGGCTCAGGGACTGAATCTGATATGTTTGTTTTCCCGCCAATGCTAGGGTTTGGCAAGGTCGATGTTTTAGTTTTTTGTGTTTGTCGACCAACAAAACTTCTGGCAAGAACACCTTGATGAGTTTTTAGATCTACATTACAGATGTACAGCGCGACAGCGATGGTTTGTGACTACACAGCCATGATACAAACGTGATGTGCCTCACTCATGGTGGAATATGCATTGAGACTTTCATATACCATGAGGCAGGGTTTGTCATCCAAAGTGAGTCTGATTCGCAGCGGAGGCTGTTGATGCCAGTCGACCACTTTTGGCATTGCCGCCGCCAGAGCGCCTGGAGATGACCAACAACAAATGTCCGAAACAACTGTCGCCGGATAGCTTCTTCATGTTATCAGGGCATGGAGCATAGCTGCAGCAGGGGCGTTCTCAAGAATGGGATCGATGATGATCGATGCAATCCTGACATCATCCTCACCCCCCGGTGTCATCCCTCACTTTCAATCCCCCACCTTCTTCTCTCAGTGGGTTTCAGGTACCAGAAGGGTCCGTATTCGCATCACAACGCCAGCACAACGGGCGCTCAGAAGAAAGCGAAGAACCGCCAGCTACGCATCGCATGCCTCCCCAACCTCCGCGTGGCAAAAAGCATCACAACGGGTGCTCAGTCCGTTCGACTTCGTTCCTGACAGCGCAAAGTCCTGACTTAGTCTTAACACTTGGTTGATTTAAGATTTTGGGTGGACCTTGGACATTTGTGATGAGGAAAAAGGAAGATGACTAGGAGGCCATTGCCTGGGAAGTGGTCAAGGTGTTGAAAGGGCAAATGGACGAGTTCTGGCAACGCACTTAAAATTGCCCCAAGTCTCCTGAGTCAGTACAAGTATGGATCTTAGAACTTAGTTGGCTGACCCCAAGAATTCTGTGCTCAGGCTGGGGCTGAAAATCATTGAACATCCATCCATGAAAGTCATGCTTTCACATGCTTGAACACACACACACACGTGCCCAGGGAAGATAAGCTCATGCAACAGCTGGGAGGTGTTATGTCAAGCTTAGGGAGGGTTCACGTCACTAGGGAATCAGCTCACATCAGGACCTGATGATAGCATTACTGTACTTGTAGTTGACCTGATTCTTTGGCATGTTTGAGGGACAGGGACAGTAAATCAATCAATGTACAATCCATTGCATTGTGAGGCCTGAGCCTTTAACGGCGTTGCCACCTTTGAGTGTTCTTTTGGAGGCTCACGCTGTGTCAGTCGCTTGTCACCTTAATTAACAGCCAGGGCGCAGTGTCGGCACCCTTCCTTTGCACTGCTGAGTATCACTACTGCGTATCACTCCTGACTCTCCGGACGGAAGTAGACCTACCTGCAAAGTAGACGTTTTTTCGGTCGGACATCTCCAATGTCCGTCCGATCACTGGACACCTGCGTCACCGAGATCAAAAGAGAATGTGTGCAGGGCACTCCTTTGGCCCTTTTCACAAGCAAGCACTGTGTAGAGATTGTAGACTAGTTGTGAATTCACAGAAACATATATAATGGAAGTAAGTTCGAAGATGTGTTTGATTCTTTGCAACTCATGAAATTGACGGGAAACAATGTGAAACAATTCAGGGGTCAATCCAATTGCAGGCTGGCCGTGCCTCATTCCATGCAGCCATGGCCAAGCTTGCGGCACCACAGGTGCGCCCAGGGCTTAAAGCTCCCAAGTCGGAACGGAATCCTTTGGCAGAGACAGCAGCGATTCAGGGAAGTCAACCTGCACCATGGTGATGGTTTCGGGTGTACTCAATGTGTGACCTACATTGTCGACTGCCTTTCAGATCCTTTCAGAAGTTTTCTTTAGCTGCCAAGCCTGAGATTTGGCTTGCTTGAGCGACGGAAGACGTTCTGGGTGAAATGCTGGGATTGCCTTTCGTTCGTACTCTCCTCGCCTCTCTTGCTTCAAAAGGAATCACCATGCTCCTTTTGGATCCTTTCGGATCAGAAGACAAATCGCACTTGGCACATCGTGGGCCACATGGACGTCATGTCATGTCGCCCTGCAGCGTTTCCATGGCTCAAACATGATGTTCGATGTCCGGAGGCCTCGTAGCGTCGCGGGTTGCCTCGCGTCGAAGACATCGGTTGCGTGCCTCAGATTGGTGGCCGTGAAGCCTTTGTGGCGAAGGGAAAAAAATGCAAAGCATATCATATGATATCATAGTACAACTTATTATCAAGTACTTGAATCGTCATTTACTTTATACAAGGTCGTTTCATCCAAGAGTGTGATTTCGGGTTTTCCTTGAAGAACGATGTGGTACGTCCAAAGAAACGATACCCCTGTTGTTACATGCATTTGTTTCTTGAGTTTTTTGAGTTCATTTTGGTATGCCCTCCTGCCAAAGCAACTCTTCTGAGCATTTGTGTCTCAAGGGTGTCACTTCATGAACTGGTTTGTTCTTGCAAGTGTCATAGGCAATTGGGGATTGTGATTGCTTGTGTTTGGAGCGCTGTGTCCTGGCTCATGGGCTGGCCCCAGCCGATGAGGAAAGGCTAGGCTCCACCACTGAACAAGGTACGCCTTTGTCCGCCTGTCTTGGTTTGGAAAGGGGTTGCATTCTCCTTGGTGTAGAGTGAGCGCAGCGCGTGCGCTTACAAGCAACTTGATGTCATAAAGTACACCAAAAGTCAACATCACAAGACGATGCCCCAAAGCGATGCCCCAACGATACACGAGAGAGTGCAAAAGGAAACCTCCTTAGACAGTGCCCCATGGGCAAGTCTGCGAAGGTGCAGGCAGGCTTGCATCTTCTAGTGAAAGAGACTAGGTCAGCAGACGCGTTGCAGAAGCCAGCAATGCTGCGCTTGCTGGAGCAGCCCTCTGCAAACGGTGCTGCTTGTTGTCCTTCCTCACTTCACAGAGCTTGTCACACTTCCAGTGTTTGCGTTTGTGCTTGTGTTTTGTTTGTTATGATCCATGACATTACATCACATTCATTGCTGGTGGCAAGACTCCGCCATGCGAAACATGAAGCCTGCAAAGGGATACATACAGTGCTCATTCTACCAAAGAGTCTAAAGCGACACGGGACATCCTAGCTTTGCATGAGCACTAAGCAAACAACTCAGAACACAACTTATATATATAATCATCGGAGTAGATAGAATCCGGAATTGAAAGGGGTTAATTTTTTGAAAAAACTGGTGGCTTTGGACACGAAGACGAAAAATGAAAGACCGACCCATATATTGGGCCCACATACATCTACTCCAGGATCTTATTAATTTATATCTATAATTGGTGTCCTCTTTTCCCTTCTTTCCATGTTCTTTTCCATCTACCTTTTACTGTTTCTTATCCCGTTTCCATCTCCAATTCCTTTTCTTCCTCTTCCTGCTCCTTTTCCTCTTTCCATCCTGACCCTTTTCCTACTCGTCTTCTGGCCTTTCTCTTCCTTATTTTCTCTCTTTTGATGTTTTTGTTTCTCTCTCTCTCTCTGTTATCAGGTCAATTGTTGTCTATCCCTGGGTCCTTTTTTTGGTGGCATCAGTTTCCTGCTTTTGCGTGGCGCTAGCTGCATCTCTATTGTATGTTTGTTCCCCTTTCTTGCTTTATTCAATTGTTTTCCTGTGTTATCAATAGTTTTTCTATCTATGTGTTTGTTTTTTTGCATTTGTCGCCAACAAAGACTTGCCTCATCTCCCTGTACTTGATAAACTGAGGCCATCAATCCTCCCCTATACTTTGCTTCTTCTCTGCTTCCTTGCTAGTTTTGCTTATTGCTGAATATTCTATCTATCTATGTGTTTGCTCGTGGCAAGAATTGTTGGTCGCCGGCACAATGATGATGTGCCTCATTGCTCAGTCTTGAAAATCGTCCAAATAGGTTGGAGGCCATCGCTATTAGGTTGGAAGCCATCCCTAGAAGGTCGGTCTCTTGTTGATGCTAGCAAAAAAGACAGAAAGCAGGTACAGGACAATATCTCGGTGTTTGTTCAATATTGCTCAGCTGTGTTGATGCATCATTTAGATCAAAAAACAGCCGGCCACTTCCTCGTACAGTGAACTGGGAAAGGGAAACACGAGTGGAAAAGGGGGGGCGCGCTCGGCGGTTCCATATTCTATCTATGTTTCGGCCTTGACCTAATTTTTTTGAAAAATTACATATTCTATCTACTCCAGGATGATTATATATGTATACACTTATGTATGAGTCAGCAGAAGTGCTGGTAATTATACAATTATAGTTATAGTCGTTATTACAATTATACAATTATAGTTATAGTCGGGTGACCATCAAATAACCGGTGTTTCGGATTTGAAATTCGATTGACCACAGAAGTTTCTATAGCTATATATACACATGGTATAGAAGTGTGAATTGTTTGTTTGCATCGTGTGCATCCGGTGTGTTCCCATCATTTCAGTTGCAAATGTTGCTAGCAAAAGTCTTGGAAAAACCAATGATGCGGAAGAACCTTGAGGGTAGCATCAACATGAAGGAATGATTTCTGATGATTTCTGTACGTTTGAGATCACTTAGGCTTGCATTGGCAAAGCAACACAGCTGGCTTATCGCTAGTTCCATTGTGCCGCAGATATGCCAGACGATGGCAAGGTGCAGTTTTTCACTTGTTGGAAGACGGTCCTTGGGTCCTTGGGTTAGAGTTTTTCGAGTAAGGTGGATGGCCTATGCAGGTTTTGGTGTTTGAATGCACATTTTCAGCGTTGGTGCAACCATCGCCAAACTATGGGTTTTACATGGTTTTGCAGTTTGTTCACATTCGATGCGGTCCGCTTTAGTCAAACAAATTAATGAGCTGTGCTGTCAACCATGGTTGTCTCCAGTGTTAAAGTCACAAGGTTGTTATATATATATATATATGTTATTTTTTTTGACCAATGGTTACAGAAATTTGTTCCTTTTACTGTTATTGTTTTGGGACGTTGAAGGTCATTCAAAACTTAGTTGATTACTCTCATGAAGTCATGAAGGCTACTTTTGTATGTATATCAGTCAAGTACGCCTTGTCCGGCGGCTATTAGTATGTCAAATGTTTTCGCAGTCTTGTCCGCTTGTGTGAAGGCCGAAGAGAAGCCTAAGCCTCAGCCTGAGAGAAGGCAATGAAGAAGCCAGCAAGTAGAGCCGGCTGATCAGGGAGCCTCCCTAAAAACCTACTTTATTTGCAGCAGACTGGGTTCCGCGGCTAGCAGTGACTCGCGCAATCTTCGCCAGCTCCATGGGCATGCGTGTTGACTTGCTTTGTTGGAAACAGCGATCAGATTGTATCAGATGAGTACGACTACAGATTTAACCCTGGCAGCGGAATAATATAGTATAATATATTGCTTGAGTTCTGCACTAAATCTTTCAAAGAGTTTGCCTAGATGGTGTATCCAGCAAAACCCTCTGGCGACAACCCTGCTAAGGCCAACAGCAGTCGATCCAAATCTGAAGCCCAGTGTGACTTAGCTGAAAGGAAGTGCCAACACCCCATCTAGCACCCCTTTCAGCCCTAAGGGCTGCTAAGAATCGAGATTCAGCCCTAGCAAGAGGGCTTCACAACTCCTTTTGAAGCCAACATCAGAAAGAGCGAGGGGGAGTGAATTTGCTGAACAACACCTTGCGCATTGAACGTCACTGCACCTTACAACAAGCATCTCTAGTCGGCTGCTACTAGGACTAGGAATGCCTTCTCTTTACAGCAATGCCTGCAGATGCCAAAGTGGGTAGAAAAGTGACACCTGGGCCCCCTATAAAACCGTCTTGAAAAGAATTTCTATATCTATTTTGGTGACCACTGACCACTTGGAGTGGGACTGACTCTATGTGTTGCTCGTCGTTCCTTGAGCGCACCCAGGAGTCCAAGGGGTCGAAAGACCATGGCACTGGCGAGTGCAAGCCTTGCGCTTGGTATTGGAAGCCTCAGGGCTGCCGCAATGGAAAGGACAGCGCGGCGAGCGGAGGGGTCGATTTCAGGAGTGATTCATGAGGATTCATGTGTTTAGCTCGAGCTTGATCGAGCTTGTAGTTGTAGGACCGAAAAATCCGGTGGCCTTGAAAACTATGATATAGCTGATAGAGGTCTTTGGGCAAGAATTTGGTTCCAGAAGATCAAGTTTGCCAGCGCACTTCGAAACGCAAAGCAAGCTGCTGAAATTGAGTATAAATGCAAAATGCATGTTTCTCCTTTTTTTTGGAGTCATTGCTGAGTCTCGTTTGCCGCTCAAGGACTGTGCTCACTGCCACATGTGCGAAAAAGATGAGCTCAAAAATCGGATGCTTGTCTGGTACAGGCATAAGTCTCATTGATGCCCCTGGTTGTGTGTAGACATGTAGCTCTAGCCCACAAAAGCATGCTTGTCATAAGTTTTAAGAGTTGCTTGCAGATCTTTGCTGTCATCGAGAAAGCCGACCGCCCCTCAACGGCTGAGAAAGCAACGTGTCGTCGTGTCGTCGTGTCGCCTTGAAAGGAAAAAGAGGAAAGCCGCGAGCACCAAGAAGCCGGCAAGGAGGTCGCCAAGACGTTCCAGAAGCCCCGAGCGACGTCGACCAGATCGACCCGACAGCCACGAGCCGAACGGCCACGAGAGCTACCGCGCCTACTATGAGCGCGCCTACGGCACACCTCCTCCGCATCCGAATCCTTACGCCTACTATCCACCTCCAGATCCCAGATATCCACCGCCAGGCGCATATGGATACCCGCCACCAGCCTATGGATACTATCCACCGGCATATGGGTATCCGCCGCCAGGATATGGATACCCGCCAGGATATGCTTATCCACCACCGAGCTATGAACCACCGCGTCCGACAGATGGAAGGACGCGTGGACGAAGTCGAAGCCCAAGTCTAAGTCCAAGCGCGAGCTTGAGCCCAAGTCCAAAAAGACATAGAGCTTCAGACAACTAAGAGTCTTTGGCTTCTGCCGCCTGTGAGCATCCTGCTGGCGCCAGCAGAAGGCGACGTGTTTCCTTTTTTTCTTTTTTGCTGCAGGCTCAAGGGGTTCATGCCCACTGGAGTGTCATGATTGTGTTGTTTTTACTGTTTAGCATGATTACGGCTTATAGTTAATGCTCCACTTCACTTTTGAGACAGACACGGGATTCGGCAAAGCTTTTCCACCTGTTTGGTGGAGCTCAATACTGGGTAGATCATGGTAGATCCTAAAAGAAATACAGCGCAGTTTGTTTGCAAGGTGCGCGCGGTTTTGGAGCCATTTTGAAAGCCTATTGAGGTAAGCTTCAGCTTCTGGTGCAAAACCTTCAAGTTGAGAAGTATGAAGTATGTGTTTAGGTTTGGAGCATTTCTGCAGATGACCAGTACCTTTAGAAACTAGAGGTGGCTGCTATGGATACATATATATATACATATATATCGTTGAATAGTGTTTTGCTAGGTTGTATGATGTATTCTTAGTTGCTACTTGTTACACAGTCAAATATTCAAATTGTTGGCTTTGCAACAGTTTATGATAATTGGTCTATATATATATATATATAAACAGCAACAGACAGTAGGTTAGAGGATATGGACCAAAGCAAGCCCAAGGAGCAAAGCCAAAACCATTGCATGGAGATGTTCACTGCGAGAAGTGTCATTCTTGTGAATTCCTTACTTTGGTATTAGGCCATGCTCAGATGCTGACATCAGAGGCCAAATGTACAAAGATTGCCCCTGGGTACTTGAGGGGCGTTGGATGGAAGATTCAAAAGACTCGATGTGAAAGTTTTAATTAAAGACTAAAAACTGCAAAGTCTTACTGCTTTAGAGTTGCAAAGTTTGCGCAAAATTACTTGGCCAAGAGTCAGTCCGGTACAGAGTGTTCTTCACTTCCTCGTCAGCAGCTGGCAGTGAGCTGTTGTGGTTGACTGAAGTTGTTATGAAAGGCGATGATCTCAAAAACATTGACCGCAGACAAACGAGCCGGTGCAACTCCCAAGATGTTATTTATTGTGAGAAGGCTTCCGTCTTGCCTTTGTCACTAATATGGAAGTGGACAATGATGCCCTATTTTTCCTTTGGTCACCCTGCTGGAACACCGATATATTCGAGCAAGTGGGTCATGATCCATCCGAATGCAGGTTGCCGTCTTGGGTAGCTGGCTGAGCGAATGGGAAGCACGCGGCGGAACAGGGTCTCACCTGGTGCGCTCATGCTGAGGATAGATTCATTCAGAGCAATGTTGTGCAAAAGTTTGAACATGTATATATTTTGATGATCATTGGTTAGGCAATGATAGGGATGCAATCACATCACTGACATCTTCTGGCTGCTGTTGATGCCGCATGGTAGTTCAAGAATTTGATGTGCGCAAGGGCGCAAGGCTCTTTCCTTCAAAAACACGACTTGGTTTGATATCGGACTGCTTTAGAGCACAAGCGCACAAGCAGCCAGCTCAATGGTGGAAGAAGTGCTTTCACTGTGGTGGAGAGAGAGCTACCGTGGGGTGAAAATGGCAGCAACTCTTTCAAAACTTGGTTGTTTGCTTTGTCGGTTGTAACTACTCAAATGAAGAATGACATGCTAGACATTCTGCTTCGCATTTGAGATGTTTGCCGAAGCTCTTCTACTTCTACATGCACATGTGAGTTCGAACTTGTTTTTCACTTCCAAAGCCACAAAGCATGGTAGTGAAAGATGTGAAACCACGAAGTCTCTCAGGAAGCAAGAAGCTACTAGGAGCAAAGGGCATCGCTACTAGGAGCAAGAGGACGCTACTAGGGGCTCCTGGCCTTACTACTAGGAACAATGCTACTAGGAGCAAGGACGCTACTAGGGGCTCCTGGCATCGCTACTAGGAGCGATCGGACGCTTGTCCATTGGGTCAGGTGGCGAGTCCCACGGAGTGGTGTTACCCGCCGCGGCCGTATCCCTCGCACGCCTGGAAGTGGGACCGCACGACACGCCTGGGGTGGGGGCAGTGCTGGTAAAGACAGTTGGCAGTGGGTCATGGCACCCGGAGCCCAGAACTCACTAGGGTCGGCTGACTCCCCTAGTCACCAGAAGAAAGTACTAAGAGCAAGAAGCTACTAGGGGCTCCTGGCCTTACCACTAGGAGCAAGGACGCTACTAGGGACCCACAGCCAGTTGATTAGAGAGAAATGACTGCACCACCCAGAAGACATTCAGCCCGGTAGCGACGGGTCTTGGTCTCACGGTTTTGTCAAGAAGAGTTGATCGAGTGAACAACTGCTTACATTCAGGATCATTCGGGTTACTCTCACGATTGGTACATTGAAGTGCACATTTTGCTGAAGTTGCATTCCCTTCTGATGTTGATTGTCACCTGATCGAAAGAACTGCCCGCAGTTGTGTAAAGATGGACACGGGAGTGACCGCCGTTTTCGCGGAAACGACCGATCACTTGTGCTGTTCTTGCCATGTTTGGGGGCTCACAACGTCGGCCTGCATCGCTCCAGGATGGCCCACAGCCAGCACCCAGGCGAGACATTTCTGACCTGAGCGAGACAGAGCTCTTTTGGGTTGTTTCATGCCGAGCCTTTGGGATTTGGCTACTAGAAACAAGAAGCTACTAGGGGCTCCTGGCAACGCTACTAGGAGCAAGGACGCTACTAGGGGCTCCTGGCCCTACTACTAGGAGCAAGTAGCTACTAGTAACAAGAGCTCAAGATGACATGTTTTGAGATGTTTTGACCCACCGTCATTGAAGAGTGGGATGAGAGGGCTTCGTGACCTTGCTGGGCCCAATGGACTGGACAGATGACTTCAATTCAAAGTACCGAACCTAAATATCTACTTCTATTCACCCCCAGTTTGAATTCATGCACCTGAATTGGCTAGAAACATGATGAAACACGTGCATATCATGAGCCCGCCAAAATACAATTCAATTTGTTGATAATGCCAAGCAACTAATCGTGGCATCGCATTGAACACACATGTGCTGTTGGATCTGCATGGACTGCACAACATGTTGATCTACAGGCAAGGTGAGCCTGGTTTCCGTGCTTATGCGCATCGTGCGCTGGAACGATTCAGGCCCCTGTGCATCAGCAAACTAGAGTACATCCAGATATCATATATATAATATGGAAAGGAGAAGGCAGCCCACAGCAGAGTCTATTGTGAAGTGTTGCGATTCAAGGCCTTCAGGATTGTTCTGATGCCTTTTGCAGATGTTGCAGCCTCCATGTTCTCAGCTCTTTGATCTCAGAGACTGGTCTTTCAGGATATATATAAAGTGGAAGCGTTGCTTGTTGGCCATGAACCTTGTTTGCAACAACAAGGTGCAAAGCACCTATCCACCTTGTCGTGAGGCAATCTGGTGAGGAAGAAGCTGCACTCAATTCTTCGGGTGATTCTCCACTTCAGAGGTCTGTCTCGGGCATTGTGGGGGGTTGTTGCGACAAGCGTCCAGCTGTCGAGAGTTTCGTCCACGCGGCACGTGCGCCTTTGTGCCAAGAATGAAAGTTGGACTAGAGATTGGCTTCAACTGTGACTGGTTTGTAAATGCAAAGGCAAAGGAGCCCATGCTTTGTGGGGACACATTCTGGGTGTCCGCAGAGGTATCAGTTGCGGGTTGCCTTTTGGCTTCATCCGCAGTCCCCACTGTCACGTTTGCTGGTTGTGTGGGATCCGAGAGGTGAAGGATTATTGTGGGATCATGGCAGGCCGAAAACATTCGTGTGATTGCTTTGTCAGAAACAAAAGAGCGTCGAAGAAAAAAGGATCTGAGCTGTCAGTGCTGATGGCAACTTAGCCTAAATTGGTATTGACAAGTTGTACTTGAGACCTTATAGCATATCATGAAGCTACTAGTAGCAAGGGCATCGCTACTAGTAACAAAGGGCATTACTACTGGTAGCATTCTTGCTATTAGTAACAAGAAGCTACTGGTACTAGGTAACTTATAGCAATGAAGCTCGGTCCGAGGCTCATGCCACCGGCTCCGGCAAGACCCGCACCGTCCTGGCATCCGCCGAGTCGTTCGGGATCCCAAGAGTTGAGCAACAGCCCTTCTTAGCTAGGAAAGGATTTAGCCCATTCACATATTTGAAAGTAGGTAGTTAGAGTTACCTATTCTAGTTTGGCAGATGATCATTTCAGTAGCACTGTTTTATGATGCGTTTGCTTACAGTACATTCCTCATCAGTGTGTGTGTGTGTGTGTGTTTTTGAAGAGCCCAGCTGACTGATTTTGGTTAAATTAGTTGTCAGCTACAGGTTCTACAGGTCTGGGAAGGCAACATGCCTCTTCTTTCCAGAAGAAGCTGTGAAGGACAACTTCTATCAGGACTGAAGCTGTTTCAGCAGCCAGGAGGTGACATTGCTCATGCTTCACGTATGTCACGATTTTTGCAATCGTGCCGTATTGGCAGCAGTCAACCTGCAAAGGTTAATGATGCCAACCTTCAGAAGCTTGTAAGGTCGAGTCGCGAAATGATTACTATGACGTGATTCGAATCATCGACGTGTTTTTGTGTTTGTGCTTGAATGGTGCCATGCCATCAAAGTCCTTTTTTGCTGGCTGAGAAATATTTGCCTGACATAAAGACGCCGAACCATAGCAGGAGATACTAAAATTTCCTGGTGCATGGCGGGACTTTTTCTGCGCTTGCGTGGAAGTTCCAAATTGGCGGCAGAGGTCGCCGTCAACATTGGTTGACTGAGTCGTGCTGTCGCAAGTGTGTATCAGCTGTGATTGCAGCTCAAAGTTCTCTTGTGAAATTAGAGCTCCTACCCGAGAAGCATCTCCAGGAGACTGAACTCCGCCGTACTAGTGGATGAGGGCTTAGTCACGCAGCATCTCGCGCCAACTGTTTTCCTACCTTCCTTGTTTCCTCTCTTTGTTCCCGTCTCTCAGTCTCAGACTGAGCCTGCGGGCCAACTACTCCTTATGCCAGGCGGTATCGCTTGTGGAGCCCGGATGAAGTAGCAGAGTACAGTTCAGCCCAGGTGAGGTGTTTCGTGTGTCCAAGACACTTTCATGAAGTCCATGAAGTGTGTAGGATTGTGTGCGTACTGCTGTTGAGTTGGTCAAACAAAGATCACAAAGGGGGTGTTTGCACATTGCCATGAGTTTGGACCACAACTTATAATGAGCACACAGCATTCCCCAAATACTTTGAACATAACATTTAAATACATTTAATGTTGTTTTGGATTGTCGTGGCAGCATTGGCTCCATGAAACACCATTGTAACAGCTCGTTGAAGGATAGTTTTGATAATTCCAGATGTCCTTTTGGATTCGAGGAAACTCGGGAAACTCGGTGCCTAGAACTTGGGATTTGCTCGGAAAGACTCTCGGTGTTGATCAATCAGGTGGAGGCATGCCTTGGCATGGAGCGAAAGATTCGCTTGGGAGAAGTTGCTGCCAGCTTCTTGGAGGCCGATGTTCGTGCTTCTTGTGGTCACCATTTGGTTTCTGGGAATGAGATTCTTCGATTTGGATGAATTTGGATGACAGAGTTGATCAGAATCATGAGAAATCTCTCAGAAGACAGCCTCGGCAAGCTTGAGCAGACAGAGGTATCATAGTTCTGGATTGAATCCGTTTGATGCAGGCCTTGAGATATTCCCAGTGACTCGTTCCGTTTTGCTGCCAGAACTGGTCACACTCACACCCGGACGTGCCACCACCACTGGCACCGTTGCGTGCTTTCAAGTACACCACTGCGGGCGGGTCGCGAGGAGGCCGGGTCAAGGACACTGAAAGTATGCTCTCTGTTGGCCTTGGTAGAGCTTTTGGAAGACACCTGCAGATAGTAGTGGATATGAGCTCTTTGCTGACTGATTCTATTCCGCTGATTGTTAGCAGACTATATAGACAGATGAGGCGGTGCCTTCAAATTTTGCGATGATTACGATTCGATCGCACAAGAGCGTCGCATTCATACGCGGGCACACTCCAAACCCGTGGACATCCGATAGGGGACTCACAAATCTGAGGATGCAGCAGCCATACATAAAAAATGATGACCGTACTTCAGATATATATATATATTATTATATATATATATAACTATATATATAACCGAGTTATGTCTATGTTGTGTATTGTGCAATGCTACTTTGCTCCAGGATGGAAACGGAGTGGCGAATTTGATGCTTCCAGAATGGACAGTGTGCCCATGGCTTGGACTCCTCCCTGTTGCTGCTACTTTTGCACTTGCCCAAGTGTTTTGGCAATCAACCGGATTTTTCTTCAGCCTTCAAATCAATTACATAATCACAATCTTTCGCTGCAGGTTTCGCTTTGGCTTTGATGGCAAAAACCCGATGAGCAACAAGAACCTGGTCTTCGATGAAGTTCACAACATGCTCGCACTGCCGAGGCCAGGTAGTGATGTTTGGACACACAAATCGCCATTCTTTTGGTGAAAATGCGGTCGTTGTTTGTCAATCTCTGCGTGTTATCAGAGGAGCACAGATCTGTTTCTCCCTGAATGCACAAACACGTGCGTCCCAATGTTGTTCGACATCCTTTCTACAGGTGGAAAGGAACCTACTGGAAGGACTGTCTTTGTTGGTGGTGTTTTTGTTGGGAAATTGCGATGTGCAGTGTTGGTTCTAAGCGGGTGCAAATGATACCAAGAACATCCCAGCGTGCGAATTGGGCTGATCAGGATGATCAAGGACTTGCAAGCTATTTGCTTTGCATTGTAGTTGTTTTCGGTGAACTCTTGCCTTAGTTAGGCATGGTTGACCGGGCTGTGAGTCTTCAACCGCACAACTCGAAGGAGCCACTGCGGCGGCTTCGCAAGGTGACTGGCAGCTTGTTTGCTGGGTGTTCAAAAGCAATGGAAGAGAGAGAGAGAGAGAAGAGATTCCCCGCTCTTCATGATCTTCATGTCAAGGCCGCCAAGGATAGATAATAACTCCGCTGCGATGTTATTTTTCTTGTGCTGATTCGCACCAAATTGTAATTTATAGGGTGCGCTTTGTTTGGAAATTGTTTGGGTACCCTTATGTTCTCTTGCAATCAGGTCCAAACACCATAGCACAATAGCACCCACCTCTCATGCCCGGTGCAAGCCATTTGCTGAGACCAAAAGAAGTTCAGACTGATCAAGAGGTAATGATACCTAGAACTTGAACGCAATGTGCAGGCGGTCGCTGACTGCCGCGGGTCAACATTGGCTTGACACTCACGCTGGGTTTTGTTGTCAGATTCCAAAAACGCTTCAAGCGGAAGTTTCAGCAAACAGTAAGCTGAGCTAACCATTGGATTTGCTGAGCCGCCCATTGGTTGACCAAGGCAGTATGTATGACGTTGTGTTCCAAGGTAAATTGTGAGGTAGACAGCTATACTTTAATAACGTGGGAGCAATCTTGGAGATTTTAAAGGCTTCTAGGAGATCACATAGCCAAACCACATGCTTCCAATCTGGCTTTCTAGTGTCCCAACAGACACGAATCCTTTAGGCTCATGATTTTGATTGGGTGTAGTGTTCTTATCATAGGTAAATTCTAGTTAATCTACAGTATCACTAAATCATCACAGGCGATTTATTATTTGCATGGTGGTTCTTTCCAACATCCAGGTATTCGCTCGTTCTGGCAGTAGCAGTCCGCTTAAGGTCTTTTTGACTGGGAGCCCAGTGCAGACAGACATCGATGATGGTGAACGCCTCTTGAAGAACTGGCATGTTTGAACGACTAAGCCTACCAAACAAATCGTAAATCCCAAAATGGCTTTGACCAGATGTAGATCCCAAAGCCATTTTGGATCTCGCAATCTGGACCACAATGTCTTTGTTCGGCCTGGCTCCTTGCTGCGGATGCCGTCTCTTGGCAGAGGCGTGTGCTGAAAGGAAGCGAACATGCCGATGCTGGTCCGGAGGGTTGGCATGGGACCTACGGCAGAAGAAGGAAGATCATGTAAGATCACAAGACAAGCAAGGCATGGGGATAAATGCTACCCCCAAGATTGCCTGTCTATAGTCCTGTTATTGTCGTTAAAACCTCAACATTTGCTTTATGTGTGTGTGTGCCTAAGCCCTTTGGACAGAAAAGTCAGTGGCCCAGGTTGGACATGCACACTGAGCGTTCGCTCGAGTACTTTCCAAAGGCGTGTGACATGTTACATGCTACTCTAGTGGGAGGGAGCCGTAAGTCACCGACTTAGTCTTGTTGAAGTTGATAGATTCTTGCACTGTATTGAAATATGTTGAGACAAAGAGAAGGTAAGCAAGCAGTCGCAGACTCCATTCGCAGGTGTACCCCGACGGTGTGCCTGACCGACCCCTGTGTAACTACCTCAGACTTGGAATCCTCACCCTCACAGCGTGTTGGCAGGGGTCGAAAGGGAACCTTCTTTGTGCGCTTTGTGTATGTGTCTTGAATGTTGCTTTTGCTCTAGCCAAAATTTGCAGCTTGTACTTAGCGCTTGCTGTGTGTTCTTCGATTCCAATCTCCAATGAGGCTCGCATCTTGAAGGAGAGTTGGTCCTTGCAGTAGACCTTCCTGAAGCAAGCGTCTCAGATTTGATTCTTGGCATCCGAAATCCTTGCTTTTGCCAAGATGGATTGGGTCGAGTTTTTGCAAAGAGAGGAAATCAACATGTGAAGCATTTGAGTTTGTTCTTTCCGAAAGGAAATGGAAGCAAAGTATCGAGAGGTTGAGAGCCAAGGTGCTGATACCGCCGGGAGCCTCACAACTGATGCCTTGGTCGTGACCTACTAGCGATGGCCTCCAACCTAGATAGGGATGGCCTCCAATCGAAAAGAAAGGTCTAGAGGATTCTAAAAAGAACATAGTAGCGTCCTTGTTACTACTAGTAAGGCACTTGTTACTAGAAGCGATGCACTTGTTCCTAATCGCTTCTTGTTACTACTAGTAAGACACTTGTTACTAGAAGCGATGCACTTGTTCCTAATCGCTTCTTGTTACTACTAGTAAGGCACTTGTTACTAGAAGCGATGCACTGGTTCCTAATAGCTTTTTGTTACTACCAGTAAGGCACTTGTTACTAGAAGCGATGCACTTGTTCCTAATCGCTTCTTGTTACTACTAGTAAGGCACTTGTTACTAGAAGCGATGCACTTGTTCCTAATAGCTTCTTGTTACTACTAGTAAGGCACTAAAGGTCCAAAATAGCAAACAAAGGGCAAACGTTGATTGTCGTTTCTTCGCCCGCAAGGTTCGGCTCAGAGACTGCTGCAATTTGTCCGCGGCAATCTCAGCTGAAGCGACATGATTTACGAGTGACCAAATGGACTGATTTGAATGCTGGAATGCTTCAAATGTGGTACATGCAGGATGCAGAATGAATCAACCATTCCGAAGTACGTTGCGAAAGAGACGCTGATTCGGGTCTCACTGAGGTTCATCACACTTGGGCCCTGAGACCACAAAAGCGCCATTTGATGTTGGAGGCGGGACACGTGAAGAATCATGAACATTCCATCAAAAACCCACCTGAAAATTCAATTAATAGTGGAATGAAGAATCCGGAAAGACACCATCGAGCATGATTCAGCCAAGGAAACATCAACGAGCACATGAATCTCCGCAAATTCTCGAGACCGATGCCTTGAGGCCGCCGAGCAATATGCGCGAAAGCTCCATGAGGTCGCCAAAACGGTCTGGCGGTCTGGTGAAAAGGCTGGACAAAGATTTGGAACCTTGGCCTCGGCTTGGCGTCCAGCATGGTAGGCTATGGCCGCTGCTTCTCGGCGTGGTGGCCTCCAGGCTTGTTTTTTCATTCAAGCGGCATATTTGCATGTTCAGCTAGCAATTTCAATTTCAGTGCAATTTCAGCAGCATATTTTTTCAGTGCAATTTCAATTCTTCGCAACAAGTACAGCTAGCTCCAGGTGCTCAAGGAGCTCTTGCGGCTTTACGCCCCAGATGATTATGTGCAGATTGCAGTGCGCTTCAGCCTGTCTTTAGACACGCACCACTGGCTTTGTGAAAGTTACTATTTGCAGTCAGCAAAGGATAAGACTACTGTATGATGATGTTGATGTTGCCAAATGTTAAGAATAGCACTGCTTGCATTGTGCTAAAGTCACGTGGATAGATCCATACGTTTTGTCCGTGTATTTGCACTGATTGCATATAGTTGCTGAGCAATTTTGAACAAGCACGACATGAAAAAAAAAGGAGTGGAAGTGATGGGGGAACCAACTAATATAGTGAATCTTCCAGTGAAGCGCTAGTGAAAAGGAACGTGACGAGAACAGCATCTACTCAGAAGTGTTTGCGTTTGAATCCAAAATATGCGATGCGGAAGCTTGGTGCCTGCACAAAAAGATACATTTGAAAAGAAATGTTGATCAGGTTTGAAATGGTTTGAATATTTGCAAACCACAAATTTCTGGTAACCTATGATGTCACTTTCATTCACATTTCTACACAATGGAAAGAAAGTTCTTGGCCAGGTGTTCTCTGGACACTGCAGTATGATCGTCTCACGTTCCCGGGAAGAAGCTGTGCAACCAGCAGAGGACACGGGTTGTGAAGAAGATTAAGACGGAACCTGACAGCACCTTCCTTTCCAGGCCCTCAGACGCTTCAATTCAGTCAAGCACTCCGAGGCGTCTCAATCGCAACTATACAAGTTCAAGCGCATATTGGAAACCACAAAAAAGAGCTTCTCAAGCTTCACACAGTGCTTCACACTTCTTGCAGAGGGAGAGCGAGAGTTGCCGAATTCATCTCTTCCATCTCTTCCAGGTTCGTGTGTTGCTTTTGGACACTGCCTTCGGACGAGAGGGCCTTTCGGCTTTAGGCAGAATGACTTGCGGATCATGGAATGATAACACAGAGGATGAAAGGAATATGAAAGGGCGCTCCTTGGAATTTTGTACAGTGCAGTGTATGTTGCTGTAGATGGTGTCAACTGCCGTTCATTGTTTTGTGACGTTAAATTGCTGGACTTATTCAACCAAGCAATTTTCGGGCTTCGTTTGAAAGAGGAGTTGGACAATTGCACTTGGTTGATGTGCCGACCAGCTGGGCGGAGTGCGCTGTCTGAGAGTGGACTCGTGTTGTGTGGGACTCCGATGTGTCAGAGTGAAGGTACAAACAGACGGTCGGCAGGGCAATCCGATTTGGGGATGTGAAAAAAGGCTCAAGTCTTTGCCTCAGAATGGAAACTCAACTACCAGATGTTGTTCCTGCCGCATCCACGTTTTTTTTGAACTGCATAGGAAAGGCTGTGGAAAAATGGTTCTGATGATGCAGTGCGAAGTTGTCCAGCTGAGGGCGCAGCTTGCAGGTTCACCTATGGGTCTCCAGGCGGGCACTGCTCATGGAAGTTTTGATCATGGAATTAGCGATGCCAGGAGCCCCTAGTAGCGTCCTTGCTCCTAGTAGCGATGCCAGGAGCCCCTAGTAGCTTTTTGTTACTAGTAGTACGGCCAGGAGCCCCTAGTAGCGTCCTTGCTCCTAGTAGCGATGCCAGGAGCCCCTAGTAGCGTCCTTGCTCCTAGTAGCGATGCCAGGAGCCCCTAGTAGCGTCCTTGCTCCTACTAGTAGCTTTTTGTTACTCGTAGTGCGGCCAGGAGCCCCTAGTAGCGTCCTTGCTCCTAATACTTTCTTCCGGTGACTAGGAGCGTCCAACAATGTCAAACTTAATTGCTCAGTTTGCCACTGGAAGGCTGCTTGAGGGTGACTCTGCAGATGAGGTGCCTGGCTCAGCAGAGACATGTGGATAATCGCTCGTTTGTACGCTGGTGTGCATGACCTCTATGCCAGAGCTTCAATTCGCAGCAATGATCAAAATTTGAATGCGAGCGGAGAAGCCAGCGCTGCTCCACGTCAGATATTCGGGCCGTGAAGCAAGAGGTTCCCAAGATTTAAATGGTTGCAACATGCTCACAGCTGTGCAGAACTTCAGGTAGGTAGGCCGTTCGTTCATAGCATCTCAATCTCTTGCTCACAGCATCTCAGAACTCAAACAAATCAATCTAGAAACAACTCAAGCAGTGAGAAACAACAAGGCTTTGGGAAGTGAACTAGTGTCAGCTACATGCTTTCTGCCTTGCGATAGCAAGTATTGGTAGGGGGTCAGCTTTCTCGGTAGTAACGCCGTTGAGGTCCCAGAAGTCCTCATGTGAGCTCAAACGATCTCGCAAGACCAAGGACGAAGCTACATGCAAGCAAACGCAATATGAACCTGAGAGCCAAAACGAGTGTGCCAGGGAGGGGAACCTATTTGAAGTGGCACGCCGATTGTGTAGACAAGCTCTGTAGTTTATTGAATTTTATAAATTACACATCATATACATTCCTCGTGCTGGCTTCCATTCAATGGGCATGCTTTGGCTGGAATTTGACTGATAACTCTCAGGTGCTTTTGTCCAACTTGCGTGATCAAGGTGGGCTGAAGCTGTTTTTAACACTCATGAATCATGGAGCCTGGGATCATTCTTGCAGTTCCATAGCCATTTGCCATCATTCATCAAGTGGGAAATTCTGCAGATATGGCTTTCCTCAGCAAGGCGTCTCTTTCTTATCCCCCAGGCGCCGAACTCTGCGCAGCGGAAGACCAACTGAGAACTTGGAGTATTGCCTGGAGCCCAACGATGGGTTTGACTTGCAGTTTGTGTTAAGTTGGCTTGCAAGTCTTTCTCCCAAAGAGTGGCTTGCCTTTCGCCAAGGATTGCTGATTCACATGATTCAATTTTTTTATGGGTGTAGGTTGGGATGGGTGAGGCGGTGATTGGGCACCGTTCTTCATGAGAAATTATTTGTTATGTGTATTTTTGAATTACATTATTCGATATGTTCAACCAACCCAATGGATTTGTGTTTAAATCAATGATAATTTCTCTATTGGGATATTCAAGGATGATTGCTTTGGAAACAATCTACCTTGAAAAAAATATTTATTAATAATATTATATTTGAAAATTATATACAATATTAAGACATAAATAAATATATAATATATATTACAATATTAAATATATACTATTTAAATATTTAATAGAATATTTTTTAGGGAAGAGGGGACGAATTCGATTATTAAAAATTAGTTTAATTATAAATAATGATATGTCGGTTTTATATATATTTTTTATATATAATTAAATTATTATAATGAACAAATATTATTTATATAAAAAAAAATAATTTATAGTTATGTTGAATTATATTGTTTTAATTTTGATATAATAAAAAACAAATAAAAATATATATATATTTTTTTTTAATATAAATATATTAAATTCGAATAATTTTTTTAATGTAGAATTAATAAATAATTTGTATAATATACTTGGATGAATTTGATGCTATTAATGTTTTTTATATTATGGTAATTGTTCGATGTCCGTTGCTCGAATTGGAAATTATTTTTTTTAACGATTTAATTGGATGGGAATTGATTGGCTACGAAAATTATGTTTATATTGATGGGAAAAGATCGCATTTATTTTGCAAGAAAGAATTTTCGTAATTAACAAGTGTTACTTCGTGAGGGAATTTATTTGAGGGTTGTTATTGCCAATTTGGTAGAGCGGAATTCTAGTTGGGGCCCGTTATTGATTTATTTCGACATTGACGAGCGTTATGGCAAGTTCGTAGGACGTGGACGTCTTAAAGGATTTGATCTTTAGTAATCGACCCACGGACTATAAGGAGTGGAGAGCCAGAATCTACCTATACTAGAAGAAGATGATCCTCTAGAAGAAACCACAAGCAGGCGAAAGACCTCTTAGGCCTACACTACCTATGATGAGGACACCTATGAGGCTGAAGAAGATCCCTTCGGCTTTGAATAGAGCCCGGACTAGAGGACACCTGCGAACCTGAAGATGATGAACTGCTCCTCTATAACGAGGACGACTATCCTGATTATGAAGACCCAGAATGGGAAGAATGCTATGCGACTTACCTGGACACCCGAAGACGGTTTGTAGAGCTTCGAAACAACAGAGGCTTCTATCCGGTCGTCCCTTTGGCTGACCAAGGCACTTTATCGATTCCATCGTCTTCGCAACGACCTATACCACCTCGTGGAAAAGGAAAAGGGCACAAGGGTGGAAGAGGCAAAGCTCATCGTACCTCAACGCCTCAGAAGGGAGATGCCAAAAGTTGCGGAAAAGCAGCACTGTCGACCTCTTCGACTACCAAGACATGCCTACGTTGTGACCAACCAGGCCATTTTGCAACTCAATGCACTCAGAAGCGCAGTCCCACATCCAATCCTACCTCATCAGCTGCCAAGAAGAGCAAGCCTGAACAAGGACTCATGGTCAATTTCGCGATGAAAGACCTCCAGACACTCCCCAAGGGAATCTTTGGAACTATGGATGGTGGAGCCAGCTGCATGGTTTTGGGCCACGATACACTGATGAACTACATCGAACACTTCCACAAGGAGATCGACGTCTCGTGCTTCAAGTTCCGACCTGCCACCAAGGCAATGCAATTCGGAGGTGATCGCACCATGGAGGCACAATGGACTATGCACATGCCCGTGTGCGTACAAGGCCGCCTTGGCCGTGCTGAAGCTTTTGTGGTGTCCGGCTCAACGCCTTTGCTCATTGGCCGCCCGATTTTGAAGGCCGTGAAGATTCAGTTGAACTTCCTCGAGGACACCATGAGCGTTGATGGCTCCCCACGGGAAAAGATTGTGGTGGGACCTCGTGGAGAACACCTCCACCAGCTTGATGATGGTTTGGAGTCAGTACCTGAGAATGGCTCCTACGAATTCGACTTCATGATGGAGGAGATCTTCCAAGCGATGACGCAACAAGCCAGCACGACAGCAACAGAGACCTACACATTCGAGCACTACTTAGAGCTCACTGGTCTCCCTCCCCCAAACCTGGAGGAGGAACAAGCCATGCACACACAGGAGAACCAACAGAACGACACGGACAGCAACGAGACCTCTGACCCAGAGGACGATGATGATGACACCAACCCCTGCTACCGACGCACCCTGACAGACAAGCTAGTCAAGATCTTCAGAGTCCACCAACAATACATGGCATTGTGCCACAAGACCACAATGGAGCAAGCACTGGCATCACACGCCAAATATGAGACGCAATTCTGGGAGATCTATGCTGGAGACGCCATTTTGGCGACCAAGGTGCAAGAACTCGGCTTCAAGGTTAGAACCTTTGACCTCCTCAATGGCTGGGATTTCACCAAGCCAGCACACCAGCGTGAATTCATCGTACTACGACTGCAGTCCAGAGATCACATGGCTAGCTCCACCATGTCCAGGAGGCCAAGCGCATGGGGGCAGCTATTCGGTCCCGGCGAGGAACCACCTCTGGGTGTGTGAGTTTCAGCGTGGTAAGACTGACCTGGCCTGCAGGGAGCTGGCACTGAAGCCAGTGCCAATAACTATGTTTTTGCTTGCCCATCCACCTTGCAGATTCTGTTACATACGTGATGTGCAGGGATTGTTGCAACATACCAAGTGGTCACCACTCCAACGATTGAACGCCAGAACGCCTGCAGCGCAACAGCGCCTCGAAGCACAACAGCAGCATAAAGAAGGAACCCACCTGAGGTTCAGCAAGACAATACACAAGAAGCAATACAAGCAAGATCGAGTCTCAATGTTCGAACACCCCAAGTATGCTACCTCTTGGGAAACACCCACACTCAAACAACTAGAAGGCTACGACGCTCACGTCGACCAGTGCCAATATGGAGCAACACTGCCAGACAACAATGGGGATGAGCAATACATCCGGAAGCCAACAACACTCAGAGTCACCCATGAGCAGCTAGCAACACAGCTACATTGAATCTGCACAGACGAGCACTACCACCTTCCCATCGAATGAAGCTTACCCATGATTGGGAACCGTGCAGCAGCAGCCGGCAGCTACAATGTCAACATGTGCCGAGAATGGGTCAGCACTCTGTACGACTTCATGCACTACCACTATTGGCCATATGATGAAGACGAACAAGCATACCCAGCTGAAGCAGAACTACAGCTGCAGCCACAAACAACAGCCGCCGCTGCAGAGCAACAGCCACAGCGTGCAACAGAGCACGAATATGACATCGACGAACTGGGCAACAACAGTGGCATCCTGACACGGCTACAAGAGACACAGTTAGCAGCAGCCAAACGAATTGCGCAGAGATTGCACAGGAACCTCGGCCATCCGACAAACCTGGAACTGTGCAAGATTCTCAAACAGAAGCAAGCAAGTGCATCAATACTTCATGCAGCACAAAAAACACACTTGCCAGCTATGTGATGCACACAGACCACCGCCACAAACATCCAAAATCACACTGAGGACCGGTGGCAGCTTCAACAGCCGCATCCAGGCAGACACCGTCTGGATCAACCCGTCAGGCCACTTTCACCGCAAGCAGAAGCCACAGGCAGTTCCAGTCCTCAGCATTGTGGACACAACCACCAAGTTCATATCGGCAAGAGTCCTCCAAGGTGAACAATCTGATGAGTTCGTACGAGCCATCGAACGAGGCTGGACACGACACTTCGGACCACCAACCATTCTACAGGTAGATGACCACTGTGGATGGGCATCCGAATAGCTCAGAGCATGAGCAAGCGATCATGGCACCGAGCTGGAAATCTCACCCGGCCAGGCACACACCCGGTTGAGCATCGTGGAACGACGTCACCAGGTACTCCGAAGGGGTATCGAAATGTTCCTTGCACACCGCCGCCAGCAGCCAGATCATGACCCCAACATGCCTCACAGGGAGCGCATCATACAAGCCTTGAACTACGTGGTACCACAGATCAACAACACTCCCAACGTACAAGGCTACAGCGCCACCCAATGGGCTATGGGCATACAGCCCAGGATCCCAGGAGTGTTGATGGACCATGATCTCACTCCAGCCCAACTCACTCCAAGTGAGGCCATGCAAACAAAGCTGACAATGCAGAAGCAAGCAGCAATAGCAGTCATTGAGGCAGACAATGATGCCCGACTCAGGAGAGCCCTCCTCAGACAACACCAGGCCATCCAATATGTGTACCACACAGGCCAACGAGTGTTCTACTGACGAGATGCCCCACAAAAAGCTGGACCAAAATTGCGTTGGAAAGGACCAGGAACAGTGGTGATGATGACAGAAGAAGGACGAATAGGTCCTGCTACAAACACCTACTGGGTCACACACGGCACAAAACTGCTTCGAGTCAGTCGCGAACACTTACGCCCTGATCTCAATCACAAGGATGACACCGACCCCATCCTTCGAGCCAAGAATGCTCTCGACCAGATTCGAGGCAGAAACACCACTCTGTACACAGACTTGCAAAAGGCCAACAAGCGCAAGCACTCTGAAGTGGTCACAGAAGATGAAGATGACACAGAGATGACACCTGCACCACCTGAGACCACCACGGCAGAGACACCTGAACAACCACAAGACCATTGGGACGTAGAAGAAGATGGCATCACATGGCACCGAATACACGTCGTCCCGAGACAAGCATTATATATACCGCCAGGTGACAGTCAAACACCACATGAGCACTTCCAAGATCTGAGAAGGACAACCATCCTCAGACCAGGACAACCGCAAAGAAACTGTACCGTGCTCCAAGATGATTGGCGACTTCCAGACGCCTCCAGGAGCATGCCCTTCTCGTGGACCGGAACAACCACCTTCATCCTGCGCACCGATCGCCGAGCACCGCCAGGCGATGATGATGTACAAATGGAACAACAACATACGGCAGAATTACCGCCAACAGCAGGAGGAGAAGGACATGGAAACAACCATGAGTTGACAAC